ATTTATTAACCTCAATATCAATTGTGGCGCATAAATCTCGATAAAAGTAAATACGAGTGCTGCATATTTCACACAAAAATTCAAAAAAACGAGCCAAAGAGAAACGAAACGTATTCATTTGAAGCGAAGGATGTAAAAAGGATTGCGCTCAGGCAGTGATTTTCAATTTAAAAAATTGCACGCAAAAGCGCCACAAATCAAAGGAATTGACTTTGCCAGCAGAGGCGGAAAAAGGGGGACCTCCTCCCCAATAAATTTCAATCTAAAAACTTAACTAAAGGCACCGGGAGCAAAGCTTCTGTTCTGAACTGAGTGAGAAAAAAATGGAAAATAAGGATACTTTGGGACTCCGGAGAGTGAAATACTCTTACAAAGGAAATAAATATGACACAGGATTAACTACCTCCTTTACTGTTTCCTACTAATGGATTACGAATAACTTGTATCACTTTGATGTTAATTATTAAAAGTCTTTCCATAGATTGGTTTTCACTTACAAATATATTTAGGTAATCATAATACTGAAAGATAAGGTTTCAGGAATGAAAAGTTAAAGATAAATCGCGTTTAAAATGTACCAGACCTCCAGGAAGGGTACCAAAACGGAACTGCTCTGTAAAGTAGTGAGCTGAAAAATGCAAAGCGAGTGAAGCTGCCACGCCCCCTAAACCAATACACGCCACAATAAATCTCAATTGAAAATGCTTTTTACAGCGGCCAGTGAAAGAGAGGGGATATGCCGGGGGAAAGAGAGGGCTTGATTCACTCTTGAAGCTACGAAAGAAATCAATGGAACGAACGATTGAGTGGCGCCCCCTGTCGCTTTTTGCCTCTACGCTTTGAGCCATCGAAGGGAATTTATAATTAATAAATGCCCCCAAGTGAGGCAGTGAGAACAAGTGCTGATTAGTGCAATGACAAAGCAATCAAAACACTTTAGCAAACGTGGCAATTAAAATTCACAAAAGCCCACTGAGACCCCCTCCCTACATTTCCCAGAGCGCTTCTGGCGCCCTCTGTTGACCACAAACGGCAACGACTGTTTGATTGCTGCCAAAGGGAAATCAAAGAGGAATCGGTGGGAGTATATCGCCTATATGTATGAAGTACGTGTGTGTGAAGCAATCACACCAAATAAATCATTCAATGCATTTGCCATTTCGGAGTCGCAGAGAGAGACGGCCATATGCAAAGGGAAAGAGACGGCAGGCGGGGCGAGAAAGAGAGGGAGCGAGTTCCGGAGAAGTTGCGAATTATTCATGGGGCTCTGCGGTTACAGGGAAGTGGACCTCGGGCCTGGCCCCCAGGACTCGGGCTGCAGGACTCAGCTTATCTGTCATCAACCGCACAGTTTAGTGGCGAAGGAAATTACTTCGGATCTCCGACTCCGGCAAAATGGCCGACGGAAGTTGGTCGAGCTGAATGGATTTGGCCATGGTTATCCCGGCGGACTGATGGATGAGCGGATGGATGGATAGGTGCCTGTCTGAATCCAAGGGTTAATGTGGCGCAGCAAATGGAAGGTGTTGGGAAATGTGCGAAAACATAATGCCAGGGAAATAGAATTTACTGTGTTGTGTCCCAGAGAATTGACAACCGTAAAATGCCTTATAGAACTAAAGATTTAATGAAATATATTTAATTATTTTATTATTACAAATTCTTTGTTAAAAAATATGTATGTATGCTAATATCAAAAATTCAACAGGCATTCTGCTTTCAGTATATTTACTTATTTAAAAAGAATTTATAACAAATATCCTGGGACAGAACTTAAAAAAGAAGGTTAAAATAAAACTCAAGGAGAAAATAATTTGAAGGATAACTTCCTTTGCGTAGTTTTGTTAATTAATCCCCAGAGACAAACTCAATGCCAATCGAATGGGCCCATACCTAGTGGGACCTCTAAAACCTTGGAATTAATATTCCTGAGAACTCAATTCAAATGAGTATTCACCAATGTAATTAGTTGAAATTTGTTTTGGTTTATTGTTTGGGCAGCCAGTGCTGATGATGAGGCTTGAAATTGCCCAAAAAGGAATAATGGACGGGGAGTTGAGCAGGCTAAGACGCTATGACGAATCAACTGGACAGCGATCACTGCGGAATTCCCATGGAGACAAACCGGGAGAAATCTAAAGCGTGTTAAATCTCAGGGTCCCTCAATGGCCTTCGCTCCCGACCATTCAATGCGTTTCTGTCTGGCAGCTGTGAAAATCCAATTTCCAGCACGCCTAAGCGGATGTAGTCCTGGCATTTTCTCAAAAGGACACAAAAGAAACCAAAGGACACACATGCACCAGAACAGGACGAGAGGGACGAAGGCTGTGATGGACGCGGCACTGGCATTTAAGTGACATTAGCAGTTGACATGTCTCGTCTGCGACTGCGGTTGGTCCCAATAGTGAGGTCAGGAAAAGGGGCACTGAGAAAAAACATCTTTGGCTTTGCCTTTTAAAGAGCAAGTGTTTATAAAAAGTCTTATAAAAACTAAAGATTTTTAATAAAACCTTTAGAATCTGTTTTATTTTAACCCCTAAATAAAAAATGTAAACTAATTAAATGATTTAAGCACTATCAACGACAAATATTTAATGTTCTTTTGTAATATCTTAATTATTATATCTGTCTTTCTAACCTTAATAAACACGTAATATATTTTAAATTTTTATTTTATCTTTATTCATAACACAATTCATGATATAATATTCTTCAGTGCACTAAACAGGACATAGAAAGGAGTCTCGAGACCCGAGGTTCAGCGCTTTGAAAATTACTTTCTGTTTAGACAATATTATGGATCGTTTAATGCCATCCACCGTTGACAAATTGTTTACCCATTTTTCGGAATCAATTGAAGGAACCTCGCCTCAAAGCGGGAACTGTCGCCGAGGTTCAATCAACTTTCGACCCCGACCCCTCTTCTCTGTCTGTCAATCATCATTGCAAAACAAAAGCAGTGAAAAACTTTTTCTATTCCGAAAATTGGCCAGAAACGTTGAAATAATTCGAAACGGCAAATGCAGCTACTGCACGCCATGTCAAGAATGAAAAGTAAACGAGTTGCCGAAGGGAAAATTGTTAAACTACCGTTTTGGTGGCCAGCAGTTTTTGATCAAGTTTTCCTTTTCCATTTATGCATTTTGCACTGCAAATCATGCAGGAAAATATGGGAAAAGCAGCGCGGCCCAACCGCACTGTCAGCCATCAAAACTTGTCAATTTTCCATATAGTTAAGCAATTTTCTGCAGTCATGATATGCACTGCGGTAGGAAAATAGTGGGGGTGCAGGAGCTTAGATGGGAAGTTCCGCAGAACCTTTCAAGTAGCCAGACATCGAGCTGATTTGGCATGTGATTTATGGGAAATTGATTAAATGTTCTTCGCCGGTGAAGGTTGAGTGGGGGAAAGGAATGAAAATAGTTTGACTTGGACTTGTTTGAAGGAAAATCTTTAAGATACAATCAAAAAGTCTGAATTTAGGTTAATCGAATTCGGCAGCTACGACAGCTATTTAAAGTTGTTCAATACTTTGTGAAATTTGTTGTGCGATTTATTTGGGATATCAAAATGTTAGTAAACCAGAATGCCCCACTTAATAGCTCTCCATAATTTATACGTATTACAATAGCTTCTCATCCCATTAGACCATCATCCGGACCATTGTTGGCCACGCTTCTGATTTATGATATCCAAATTCATATTTTGACAGCGTGAAAAAGGAAAGTAAATGCCGACAATTGACGCCCTTAATCTTAATCTAAGCGTCAGTTCGAAGAGGTAACCTCGATCCGCTCAGTCGACTGTGATATAAACCCCTCGATAGGGACCCATGGTGACAACGACAATTACGACGACAATCCACTGTGCAACCGTGCAAACATAAAGCAGCAGCAAACTCAAACAAATCGCTGGAAATCGAAAGAAATGCGCCATAAAACACAGGATGTGGGGAATGGGTATGGGAATGGGAATGGGAACTGGTACCGAAATCGACACAGCAACAGAAACAGAAATAAAGAAACGCGTTGACAGTTTTAGGCAAGCTGTCGATCAAAAAAGCAAAGCGACAGACCGAGTTCCAATTCCAGACTGCATTTTCAGTTCCTCCACAATTCACACCTTGCCCGGAAAATAAAATCGGGCAGGGCGGGAATAAATGCGAGTATGGGGAGTATGGTTACGGGTACGGTTGTAAAATGCGCACAATCAGTGCTTCAAATCTAGAAAAATCAACAAAGGAATCGAACTCAACTGAAGTGACGGTGGGTCGAGGGTTGGGGTTCGGTTTTAGGTGAGTGGCAGCCCGGTTTATCGGCAGATTGTGGGAGAGGGGTGCTCAAGACCTCATATAACATGTAATAATAAATAGAAAAAATATATAAAATATGATAGAGGCAACTGTTGGCTGTGATAAGACGGGGAAATGTTTATGGCTGTGGTACGGGTTTAATATTTGCCAAGGATAAACTAACGGCTAAGGATATTATCAGTCAAAGATAATTCGAAAGTGCATATCTATGATTAAAGATTTGGGAAATATATTTCTAATACAACCGAAGGAGGAACCATAAGAACCCCTTTGGCTTGCCAATTTTTTAAACAAATTAAACATGAAACAGATAACGAATGTTTATTTATTGATGAACACTCTTGTGTGAATATCAATACTCAAGGCATTGATTAGACCAAATAAAAGCATATAAAGTTTATACATTTGTGAAAAGTGTTTTCAAGTCAAATTGGGCGAATTCTATTTATATAAAATTTGCCAGCCAAAGAAACCCCTTAGGTGGCAGCAATAAAATCCAGCTCAGATATTTATGGCAAACAATCAACACCCGCAAACAACAAACACACATGGCTTGTATCGGAAACAAAAAGGCTTTATAGATACAGGGCTATCTATCTTTCTATCTATCTGTACACACTCGCACTGCGAATGAGAAACGCATTGATATGTAATTCAATAGCAAAACTAATAAACTGCAAATGCAATGGCAATTGCGAGTGCGAGTGCAACTTTTATTGAGGCAACCGACCACCCCAGGTGGGTTTCGATGCCAAGCGATTCCTGCGCTGTTTACCCTCGATACAATCTTGGCCAGGTGAGTGCAACCGACACGGGCATAAATCAAAGCACAACTTGAGAGTTATCAAGATACGGCAGAGCCAACAAAAACTTGCAGTTGAAACAACAGCTATCTGCACTGGGAAAAGTCACACAGTATTTTTTAAAATAAATAAATACGTTTATATTTATCATTAAGATTTTGATTGGAGTTCAAAGACTACGACACTTTTTGAGGGTTCATGAAAAATAATTTATATGGAGCTATTAAATCTTAAATTATCGATTATTTACGTGTTCCCTAAAATATTCAAAATTTTGAAAAAGTTTTATGGGATGGTAATATTTTGTACCATATAAAATTATATCGATACAAATGTTCTGTTCAAAAGCATATAAAATGAAAACCGATTATAATATTTATTGGTAGTGACAATTGGAATAAGTCAAATTTATATTATGTGAAGCTGACTTTGGCTAGCTGACCTTTTCAACCTGATATAATGATTCTTTTTAACAGTGCACTTAACTGCTGCATTTTACAGTTCCTACTACGGTGGCATGAGTAATCGATGTCGGTGATGAGTAGAGCGGGCTAAAATGTTAGAAATGAATTTTAAATATTTTATCGATGGGCGTTCGTGACTCACTTGAGTCCCAGTCTGGCTTTCTGTCTCCCGGCGGACGCTCGCATTTTGATCAAATGTGGCCCAGGCCAGGCCAAGTCAAGTCGAGTCGGAGACAACCGCAGAAATCCCCACAGAAATATCTCAGAAGGGCCGGAGTGCCTAACTATATATGTGAGTCACGTAGCCGGCGGAGCATGTAAATGACTTGGGTGACAAACAGACTATGGACTGATATTTGGGGGCGGCACTGGGATAGACCTTGTCACATTGTCTCGAATGCCCAGAAAAAATTAGAGAGCAGGAGTTTGTCGCTTTGGTTTTCGTTTTTTCGGGTCTTTTAGCTTGTTTTGCTCATTCGTGACACGCGCCAAAACACAAATTTCTGTTCGATTTATGCAATTGAGGAAATAAGTTCGACGACTGGGGAAGATTGCTTTCGGCTTGCGGCTTCTCTGGACTTGGATTGGTGGGGATTCGGTGGTGGGGGCTAAGTGGATACCGGGAACGGGACACGAAGTCCAATAAACGTTTTGCGGTAAATGCGAAATTAATAATTAAGCAGGCACAACTGCAAGGAGTTAGTCGCACAGTTGAGGAATATTTATTGCCAATGTCAATTGGTTCGTGTACGAAGTGTGATTACTTTTTGGGGGATGGATGGGTTCAGGAAAATTGTATATCCACTCTATGTAGTCAGACGAAATTACCCTTAATAAAGGCTTATATATTGCAAAAACGGAATAAAAAATTTTACTTTCACCTTTGAGGGTGATTAAAAATTCAATTTCAAAAATGTTTAAACAAATCAAATTTTCTTAATACAAATCTTTGTTAAAGGGCGTTTCTATTTACCATGAAAACAAATAAAGTCACTAAATAAATCAATCTATGAATCTAGTGCAACCAAGCATGATAACCCCTAATGAGTCCCACAAAACTTCTCTTTTCAAGCCTAAAAGATACCCCCAAGAAATAATTAAGTCATAATAAAAGAAAATTAAAAAGTATGCACAAAGCACTCCTTTAACCATCAATCACACAACTTATTAATTGGCGGCGCGATTTAAATTTCAAAGAAATAATGAAACTACAATCGAGACAAACAAATATCCCCCGGAATAAATCAATCTAATAAACTTGTTCAACAAGCAGAAAACCCCAACCAGAATTCTCCGAGATTACTCTTTTCCAAGCTCGAAAGAAACACTCCCCAGCAGTTGTGCGCTGGATCCCACACACATTGAGGAATTTATGTGCCATGACTGTCTCATAATTCCTGTATGCATTTTGTTCAGTATCGTATTTTCGTATCCCTTAGTTTGTATTTTTTATTTATCAGCCGCGAACGTTTACCATATGTGGGCAATGTCACAGATTGCTCATGTTCGTGTTCGATCGCGGCGGGTAACTTGAGAACTTATTCGAGAACGGCTCGGCTGTCCGGGCATTTATTTCATTAGCACGCTGATCGGGGGCCAGGATAAAAGGAGAAGTGGGAAAAGAAGGGGACAAGGGCCGAGAAATTCATTAAAGAGAAAAATTCGAACAAGAAAAGCCAAAACGATGCCCGGCCAACGATAAACCCGCGACATGCGACTCCAAAAAACAGCTCGACCGCTGGGTGACAGAGCGTTTGTAATTTATTTAACTGCATTTTTGTGGATTGTGGATTCGATTTCCGAGGACGAGGACGAGGACCGTGTGAGGGGCCCAGAATTTGTGTACGCACGACAGATTAATGCGCCCGTGTGATGCCAGAAGATACAGATACAGAGGTGCAGATACAATGATGCTGGTCCATGTTCGAAGTCTGCGGCAGGTAGAGATGCCACGATAAGATACTCGGATCCTTCGGCTTCGGCTGGCTGGAGTGTGTGTGTGGTGCAGCCAGGGCAAATATAAATATTTATGTGGAAAACAGCAGGCGTTTTGTCAAAATATTTGTGTAAGACCTCGGAGCAATCCACATTCTGAGCTAAACAGATTTCTGATTCCGGCTTGCGAGAGCGATTTGTACCCCGAAATATTGTTTACACACCCGATTCTGTTTGTCTTTATCGATGCCAGCAGTCAGATTGTATTAAGTCATTCGGTCGGGAAAGAGTTTCTACGGTCTTGTGGTTTATCCCGCAGGCCAGGTGAAACGCCCTGCTTCCTGTCTCCCCTGCTATGAAAAATTGCTGGCTTACATGAGACAGATAGCTGGAGACAAGTAAAAGAGGGGTGTCTGAGGACACATAATCCTTTAGCCTGTCATGGCCAGGAGTTCCGCATCCTTTGGCTTCCTGCATTGCAGCATCTGTCCTGTTTGCGATACTCTTTTGGGCAATAAATCTGTGCAACTGGGTTAATTCAGTCTGAAAGGGTTTTATTGCGCCTTCCAATCTAAGCTTAATTACAAGACTTATTGTGATCTAGTTTGTTTTTTTGAAATATTTGAAAATTTATGTTTTTGCCTACACACCTCTTGTAGGACATTGGTCCTAATAAATAATAATTTTTAAAAATACGAAAAAAATTTTGAGTTTCTACTTAAGTTAGCGAATTTATTAATTTCAGTCCTTACATTTACATTCACGAAAAACTTTATAATTATTTTTAGAAGGAAGAAAGGGAGTTAATTTAAAATTTAAACAGTTGTTTGAAGCTGGATTGTTTTGCACCCAACATAAATAATTTTCCACTACAAGAATGACCTAGTGAAAATCTGTTTTTAAAAAGTAGCTAATTTTTATTTGCTTTCCTAAAGTATCTTCCTTAATTTTGGCCCCGGTAGTGAGCTTCTTTCATGCGGTTGACTTGTCGCATTATCCTATTTTATTTACTGCTAATGCTGCGCTTTCGACCTCTAAGTCGCATTTTCTGTGATTTTTTCCTTACTCCTTCCCCATATACATTTTTTCGGGATGGCCAACAACAGCATAAAACACATCATTAATTTAAGGCGATGCCACGAGACAAACACATATATTAGGAGAAAGGACTAACGGGCTGGGCTTCATCATCAAACGAGGCAAAAGTCAAAGGACTTAAGTAGCATTGGCAACAACAGCAGCAAAGAACAAAAATTAATTTAGCTTAATTCGTCCACGAAACTTTGGTTGAGGCCAGAAACCCACTCGGATGCTCAAGTGAATGTGTGTGAGTCGGACTCCTTGGGGGCTTTCTGCCGCTGAATCCTTTAATCCCATTGCCTGCCAGTTTAATTATGTAGTTTATTAGGCGGAAATGAAAAAGCGAAAGCCAAAAGCGGAAACGGAAACCAAGCGACGACCGAAAGAACTCGGGCTCTTATACAATTTATACATGCACAAGGAGTCGACTAAACCTCTTCACCCGACTCCGCAACCTCTGAATCATTTAACTCTACTTTGCATACGTAGAGTCGGGCACTGAAAAAAGGTTCAACTCTTTTTCCTTACCTTTTTGGCGGCTGTACTCAATAAATTAGACGAAAGTCAAGCTGGATCTGAAAAAGAAAAGAAAGCAGTTTGAAATTAGCTAAAAAATGTAAGAAAACTAATGAGATCTAGATTGTATGGAACTTTGGGAAAAGTAAATAAATCATTATTCATTTTTTTTTGGCAATGAAATGTTGTAGATGTATTATTTTACTGCAGAATAAGTTTAAATAAATACAAATATTATTTTTTGAGAACAAATGTTTCAAGAATGCTTTGAGGACGCTTTAAAACGTCCCTATTATTTGTCTCTCTTAGCACTTAAAATCTTGGAAAGCCTGACCCACCTAACCTAGCAAACCAATCCTCAAAGGGTAACTGAAATTGGAAAGAAAAGGCAAAGGTTTATTTTCCTTTATTTGCATTGTTTCAAGGCTGAGTGCCCTGTACTTGTTATGGAAAACAGAAAGAGAACATTTTGTATTTTGGGCCAAAGGTTTCCAGATTCATGGCTCGGAGGCAAGCGGCCAATTTTCCAACTGTGGACTGTTGGAATTTTCGTAAATTGCCCCACAATCAGCATAAATTTTGTCAGCTAGCCCAAATTAGCCCAGCAGACTCCCACAGAAATCTAAAGACCCCGGCAACCCACTTCTCCTCGCAGATATGCCTCCTTACTCGTATTGAAAGGCACAAATTTGTGCTAATGAGTTTTGAAAAAGGGATTTGTAGGTGGCCTGTGCCGACCTGCTTAATGCTTGGCCAGCTTTCGGGCTCACTCCACTCCGGCCCGACCAATCTCGAATAACCTCAGCTAACCTTACCTCATCTGATACAGAATCCCAGTTAGTCACGTGTGTCGACTGGCCCGTAATTGAGTTAAACTTTTCTAGGCCAGGCCGAAAGGCTTCGACGTCTTTTTTTCGTGCCGCCAGGAAAACGGACTGAGCCACGATTGCATCAGTCGATGGGTCGAAACTCTTTTGGGCCGGCTGTGGAAAGTTTTT